CCTGTCCTCAGGGGGCCTCTGTCTGAGATGCGGGGATGAGGGGAGTAGGTGAACGTGTGCAGTGCGTGTGGCACGCAGGTCATGTCCACGGCCTCTGGTGTGCAGTGGAGCCACTGTGCAGGAGCAGCACCTCGCGTCCGCAGGAGCGGGAGTGGCCCAGGCTCACTGGCGAGCCACCTGTCATCTCAGGAGATCGTCCCTGCAGTCCCATTGCTGTCCATCCTCTCCCACAGGGGTTTGCTGGTACCGGTTCCATGACAGGGCTCAGTGGCTTCTGCCACCATGGAGAACAGGATCTGGGCACAGCGGCCTCCCCAGAGCAAGCCACAGAAATGTCACAGTCACAGCCACCAGGAGCTCACCAGCTCCTGTGCACAAAACAGAACTTCAGAAAGCAGCAGGCATTGGCCGGGACTCGGCGGCAGCAGCAGAACAGCCCAAGGACTCCCTCCCCAGGCTGGCCCTCTGCCCCCACCCTCCCGGAGTCTGTCCCGCCTGCGTCCACTGAGGCGGGGTCCCTCAGGCCTTCCCCGGGGAGTCAGCAGGCCTGTCACCAGCCAGCCCAAGGCCAGGCCGTGGGGTGGCGGCATCAGTGCTTCCCGATGCTCCGTCCGACCCTCCCGCTGCCCGTGCTGCTCTGTGGGGACATTCGGCTGTGCTGGCCACTGCCCCAAGTGGCTATGACGGGGCCACTCAAGTGGAGAGTCAGGAGCTGGCGAGCCACCGCCTCCTCGTCCTCGTCCTCGTCCTCGTCCTCCCTCTGTGCAGTGATCTTGAGGCTGTGTGCTGCAGGTGAAGGTGAAGTTGGCCATGTACAAGCCAGGTCGCCTCCTGGAGGCTCTGGGAGGGAGAACTGCCGGGTCCTTCATCCTGGCCCAGCCAGAAATCAGCCTCTGCAGCTCTGTGCGTGAGTGGCCCCTGGGTCTGGTAGTCTCACTGCAGCATTAGCCTGCCCGCTCCTGACTGACGCAGAGCCAGATCAGGCCTCTGTCCCGGATGAGGAGTCAGCAGCTCTGCGGTCACAGACAGGGGACTGGCTGTCTCTGCACCTCAGTCCTCTTGGAGGGCAGCGCTGACACCTAGCTCACCGGGCTGTCATGGGAATGCGAGGGGAAAGGTTAAGAGCCGGGTAGGCAGATGGGCTGAAAAGGCTGCTGCCATCTCTGCTGAATGAATGTCTATGGCACCTTTAATGCCCGTTTTACAGAGTAAGGAGCGAAGCTTCAGAGTCACATTTTCAGCCTAGTCCCAGTCAAGGCGAGGGTGTGGCAGAGGAGCCAAGGAAGCCAAGGTCCTGTGGTCTGGGTGGGTGGGCAGGGCCGCCTGGAGCGGGATGCACTGAGCCCTGAGCACATCAAAGGTCCTTG